CTTTGTGAACCACACGTGTCACGAGAGTTTCTCTGTCGAACGGGGCAAATCTCACACATGGCACTCGCGACCATATTGCAAATCTACGCTGGATCATGGAAAAATCTCAGTATCAAAAGAACATCTACATCTGCTTTATTGACTACAATAAATTTGATTGTGTTGATCATGACAAGCTATGGAGAGCCATGGAAGACCTGGGGTTGCCAAAACATCTGGTGAAGTTGGTGCAGTCACTGTACACAAATCAGGAAACCAGTCTGTGAACACCATATGGAGACACTGATTGGTTCAAGATAGAGAAAGGAGTGCGACAAGGTTGCATTCTTTCACCTTCCTTATTCAACCCGTATGCCAAAGTAATCATGAGGAAGTTGAACTTGAAGAATTAACAGTCAGAGTAAAGACTGGAGGAAGGAACATCAATGATCTTCAACGTGCTAATGACGCTCTCTCCTCTCAAAAACCAAAGGCCTGAAACATCTGATCAAAAGAATTAAAGAAGGAAGCGAGAAACATGGCCTCTTCCTAAACATCAAAAAGACTAAGCTCATGACCACTGTGAGGAATGGAAATGTCAAAATAGCAATTGAGGTGAAGAGACGGAAAGTGTGCAAGGATTCACCTTCCTAGGATCGCAGATTGATCAAAACAGTGAATGCAGTTCAGAAATAAAGCGTAGAATCACACTAGGTTGCACAGCAATGAGCATGAATCAAATATGGAAAATTGTTGTACACCGCCCAGAGTCACCTTGTGTGAAACAGGCGGGCTATATAAATATGATAGACAAATGAATGAATGAATGAATGAATGAATGAATGAATGAATGCAAGAACATCAGCCTGGCAACTAAATGCAGATTAGTTTACACCATCGTGTTTCCCATAGCTACCTATGGTTGCAAAAGTTGAACCATAAAAAAACCAGACAGGAGGAAAATCGACTTGTTCGAGCTGTGATGCTGGAGAAGGCTCCTGCACATTCCTTGGACAGCAAAAGTGACAAACAAGCAAGTTTTGGAGTGTATAAAACCAGATACATCGCTGGAAAGCAAAATCCCAAAATTATGCCTTACTTATTTTGGCCGTGTCATGCAATCAAACTCACTGGAAAAGGCAGTTGTGCTCGGAATGGTCAGCAGTAAAAGGAAACGAGGCCGCCAGAAAACATGGTGGCTAGACACCATCAAAGCCAACACCAACCAGAGCGTAAAACAACTAAAAGAAGCCGTACAAAATCGGAAAATGTGGAGAGAGCTAATCCACAGAATCGCCAAGAATCAGACACGATTGAACGGATAGCGTCATCATCACAATATAAATACGCTGCCAATTCTAAAAAACGTTATCCAAGGTTTATTCCTATGTTTCAAGTCTGGCTGATCTATCCTTTCTGCTTTCCTACTTTCTTTGATGTCAAAACCCGCCTCTGCTCAGGGTGAAGCACTCTGCCAACCCATTTCAAGAAGCAGATCCATCTGCAATTACCCTTTCGCTCAAGGGTAACAGACACAGACCTTTAAATCTAGCAAGTATAACGATATAAATTATAAATAAGCAGCAACAGAAGCTTCAGGTTGATAGGAATACTGCAATGTGCTCTATAGGGGGCTACCCTTGAAGAGTATCTGGAAGCTACATCTGGCTGAAAATACGGCCATGCGGGCAATCCTGGGTGCCCCAAAGATGGCACATTACACCTTTACTGCAGGAGCTGCATTGGGTCCGTTTGCTTCCAGGTCCAATGCAAGGTGTCGGTTATCACCTTAAAACCCTACGTGGCATGGGAGCAGGTTACCTGAGGGGCCGTCTCACCCCCCAGTCAAGCAGAGGGCATGCTGCGGACCCCGTCAACCAATGAATGTCAACTGGCAGGGCCCAGAAGGAGAGCCTTCTCTGCTGTGGCCCCCACCCTACAGAATACCCTCCCCCCAGAGGGGAAGCAGGCCCCTACTCTCTTGACCTTCCAGAAGGCACTCAAGACCTGGCTCTGCCAACTGGCATGGGGCGAGAAGAGGGGCAACCAATCCTGGGGGTGGCTAGCACCTTGAAGATGCTCCTGTATGTTAATATCTTTTCAATCACCAGCACCTTGGAAGATATTATTTATGTATGTATTTGGTTTTATTGTATTTGTATACTATTTTTATTGTATTTTAATTAATATTTATTTGTTTTTATTGTAAACTGCCCAGAGTCATTTCCTCGTGAGATGAGTGGTATCCAGATTTGAAATATAAATAAAATAAGAAAGCACTGCATGAGGTTCATTTTCTCTCCACGCTTCTTTTCCAATAAAATTATTTATTCCTTCTGCCAAATAATCCTGAGTTGAAAAAGTGGGTTGCCCCTCCTTCCATAACATCACAATTTCATATCAAAGTCAGGCTTCAAAACGAGACAGGAACAATTATTTCCAACCGCCAGGGCATACTAGATTACACAGCTGAAAAAAAGATCCCGGAAGAAGGGAAAGGAAAGCTGCTACCAAGAGAGCTGCACGGAAAGGTCTTGAGGTCGCCTGGAGACAGACTCGCCTGAAAGGTGGCTGTCCTCGGGCTTCCCCCTCACCTGTGTCTCTGCCAGGGTTGGGGTCCGAATGCAGCAGCTCTGGGGCATCAGCAAACACGCTGGTGGGGTGCAGGACAACACCAGCTTTCTCTCTCGTGTGGAAGATCTGGAGAGCAAACAACCATGGTTTTTGTATGCTTTTATATGGTACTCTTTGCTTTTGTTTTTAACTGTGGAAGCCACCCAGAGTCACATATGGTACTTGAGATGGGCGGCCCCACAGACTGAAGTAATGGATAAAATAACAAACAAACAAGCAGGGCAGGGAACAGATTAGGAGACAATCGACCTCTTGAAAGCCCAGGGAGACCTGCCTGCCCTCCATGCGTGACTCCAACCCACTCCCCACAGGAGAAGGCTCACGGCTCAGATCTGACCATTAGTAAGATAGACCAGCCAGGGCGGGGGGCAGCAGGGGCACTCGCCTGTTCCGAATTCTTGCGGGTCTCATTGAAGGGGTCTGGGACAGCCAGCTGAGGATAAAGGCCGCGGCCCAGCACTAACTGCAGGAGAGCCAGCTGGCTGGACGAGAGCCCCTGGGCTTCAGAGGCAGCTGCCTGCAGCTCCTCCATGTCATGCCGCAGCTGGAACTTCACATCCTGCAGGGTGACAGCAACACAACCAGACAGCTGCAGAGATAAGCAGCCACACACACACATGCGCACCCCCCCTCCCAGCCACAAGCCCAGGCCCGTGTGGGCCACAGTAGCCAAAGGGCCTCCTAAGACCTTCAGCAGAGCCCCATAGAAGGGTCAGGCCAGCCCCCAATCCAGCCTCCCAACCTTGCAAACATCCACTTCCAGGCGAGGCAGGTAGGCCTCAAACTAGCCTGCCTTCCTATGCTCTTCCAAAGCGACGGGTGCCACCTGGCATTCACTTCAGAAGCCGAGGGTGCCACTGCCTGCCGACCTTCTCTCTGCCACTGAGCTGAGAGGCTTCCCTGGTTCGCAGGGAGCTGCCTGCCGCTCTCCAGAAGTATAAATTGGAAACAGAAAAAGAGGAAGGGGCCCCAGCATCCCTAGAGAAATTGCAAATGTTTGTGGACATGTAAAAAAGCTAGAGAATTTTGGATTCCAATACAAGCCCTGGTTCAGAGTATTCTAAAGATTAATATACAATTGAGACCAGAGGTTTTTCTTTTGGGATTGATGGACAAACAGTTGGAAAAAAGTCATGGAACTTTGTTTTTGTACATAACTGCAGTGAGATTACTGTATGCACGAAGATGGAAAGATTCAGCACTACTCACAATGGAAAAATAACCATTGGTGAAGATGATGGAACTTGCTGAGATGGCCAGATTGACTTGTTTGATCAGAGAAAAGACAGTACCTATGTTTATTGCTGACTGGAAACCCCTTGTGGACTTTTTGCATAAAACAGAAAAAAATGAACTTATGATTTATGATTTTGATGAGGACAGATTGCAGAAAGAAAAGAGCTATGTTGTAACCATAGAGTAAGAGGTAAATTTATGATTGTACTTAAAACTGCTATAAAGATCAGAAGGTACTTCTCTGTATCGTTTTTCCTTTTACTTTTTTTCCCTTTCTTGCACTTTCAGCTTTCTCTTTGATTTTTTTCTTCCTTTTTAAAAATCTTTAATAAAAATTACACACACACACACACACACATACGTGCATAATGTTATTAAAGACGTGTGTGTGTGTGTGTGTATCTTTATTAAAGATTTATATATAAAAAAGAGAAATCGCAAATCAACTGGCCCTTGCTCTCACTCGCCCCACCTGGATGTCTAGGCAGGAACTGCCCTTCTCTTCTTCTCCAGATGAAAAGCCAGATCCCTCTTCCTCCTCCTGCAGCCGCAACAGCTTCCGCCGGCGCCCACCCCTGTGCTCATGCTCCCGCTTGAGTCTGCGCAGTTCTCGATGTTCCCGATGCCGCCTCTGTCGAGCATATGAGCTGCTAGTCTGAGCAGCAGGACCCAGCAGCTTGTGGTCCCGGAGCAACTCCTGGTGCAGCAACCGGAAGAAAACAGGACACGCTTGCTGAAGGTTAGATGAGCCCTCTGTGGCACTCTTTCCACCCCACCCTCCTCTTCTCACTGCAAATCACGGTCTTGTGAATGCACACCAAAGAATAGGGCTACTTCTCTGTTCCACATCACCACCACCACCACCACCACACACCTCAGAAGCTCCCTGTCACCAGGCTTCCAGCTTCTTCTGCTTACCAGCCAGTCCACACCCACTGCCCTTCTGGACCGACACCAACCTGAAACTGGCGCCGCAGATTGGCTGCCTCGTAGAGCCGATGCTCCTCCAGGCCCCGACGCCGGCACCACCGGTGGGATCCACTGCAATTGGCAGCTTTCTCCTGCCAGCCAGACCAGAAGGGCAGGAAACACCATCAGGCCACTTGCACAAGAGAAGCCCAGCCTGCATGACTCATAAAAGGTCCTTGCTTTGGGGAGAGCAAGTCCCAGCTCCACCCACCAAGCAAGAGGCACGCGTGCCACCAAAGCACTTCCTTCTTGCCTGGGAGCAGGATGGAGCTTGGCGGAAAAAAAGCTACCTCCAATGTAGAGTCAACTGCCAGAGTCCGTGAACTGAGCACTCTCCTTCCTAGGCAGCTGAAAGAGCAGCCTTTATTTCCCAAGATGGATGCAAGGGGGAAATGCCAAGATAAGGTTCAGGGAACCCAGGAGAAAAATCCTTGAACAAACGCCCTGGGCTGGAAAAGGAGCCTTCAAGGAGAACCTCCAGATCGGTCCTCCACTGGCTCTTGAGGAATACATAGCCCTGGAAGGGAAGGAGCAGGAAGGACCGGGAGGCTGAACTATTCAAGCTGCATCCGTGGCACTTCCCAGCACCCCCTTGCCCCACCTACCTGAACCCAGGCATTGAAGATGTTGAGAAGAGTCAGGGGGTCTCCCAGCGGGCTCCCCAGACTCTGCCGGGCAACCAACCAGTCCAAGCTGCTGCATCCACCGCCCCTGCGCAGGAAGGGAGAGGGCACGCTGAGGACAGCTGCAATGGTGAGCGTGGGGGCGGCCAGGTCCAAGAGTGTCCCCAACACCAGCATTTTCCCTGCAGATGGACAGACTGCATGAGCCAGAAGGCGGGGCCCACCAGGGCAGCCATTCCTCCCTGCCACTGCCACTGCCTCCTCCCTTCCTCGGCACGGAGGGAACAGAAGGACCCCACCCAGGCTTTCTGCCAAAATTCAGCGCAATCTCCTCAAGGTGTGCCCTGTGCAGAGCCATCGGTTCCAGTCCTGCAGGAATGAGCGGAAGGCACACTGGCCAGGTTCCAAGACAACGAGGGGTCTGGAAGCAGCCCAGCAAACAACCTGCTTCAAACTTCAAACAGCCAGGCCGAAAAGCCTTGTTCCACAGTGACCCGCTGTGCCCATCATTTACCAATCACCACATCGACTGGCAGCTCAGCCAGGAGAGTCCCAATCGGTGTGAGGCCCTCTGCCGAGTCCAGGGCACCCTGATGCTTTAGGTAGCCCACCGCTGCTTCCAGGCTGGCCTGAGGGGGCGGCTCCAGGAAAGGGAACACTCGGGGATCGCCCAGGCCCATGCTCTTCATCTGGGAACAGAGGGCAGAACGTGGATGGCTTCACTTCAGCTGAGCAGTCAACACTGAAGCAGCGCCAAAGCCAGAGGTGGCCCAAAATGGTCCAGACTCTTCTGCCCTAGTTATGACCAACTCTTTTCTGCCCATCATATGCTGCTGCTTTCCTGCCTGCATTTTCCCCAAAGCCCCCATCTCTAAAAAGATTGGAGCTCCTCCTTAAGGCTCGGGGAAAACTGGTGAGTCCATAAATTTGTTAAGGGAGACACAGAAGGACCAGATAGGCCTTTTGAAGACATCTCTGGGGTCCAGAACCAGGCCAATTGGCCACGGGTCTCCAGAGTCCAGATGGGAAACAGCTTTTCTCCACACATTTACTCACCCTACCCCATACCAGGAATGGAACTTGGGGCCACCAACAAGACAGGGTCCCACTCTCAAACAAGGGTGGCAGTGGTGGCTCTGAGACCCTCAAAGAAAGCCCTCCACCAGCAGCAGAACAGCCAAGACACCAGCCAGAACGAGCTTTCTGCATCTGGATGTCAAAACCCCTTCTCATCCCGGAACTGCATGCCCAGAGTATTAATACATTTGCACAGCCTACAGTCCTTCCCTTTGCAACAATTATTTGGCAGTTTAAGGTGCGCTGGAGGAAGCAGAGGTCTTCCTTGTGATTCCTCCGGCACATAGCCCTGAATCTACTAATGTAGCCACTGCGGAGCAGACCCACCTGTAAAATCAAGGCATCCAGCGCCACCCGCTGGATCTCTGGCACTGGATAGGGGGCAAAATTGTCATAGTCTGATTCAGCATAGAGACGGTAGCAGACCCCTGGCCCAGTCCGGCCTGCCCGGCCCTTGCGTTGCTCGGCACTGGCTCGGCTGATCCAGAACTCCTGCAGGCGCCGCAGTTTGGCCTTTGGGTCATAGCTTAGCTCTTTCACCTTTCCTGAAAAGAAGGGGGGTGGGGGAGAAGACCATGAGGAAGAGAAGGGGAAGAGAGCCACGTCAGGGTTCCCCATGAAAAACTTTGGAGAGAGAGATATCAAAGCAGGTGTTCCGAGAGCAGAGTTGTTCACCAGCAAAGCCCAGAGCCCAACCGCTGAAGGGAAATCCCGCCATATTCTTCTTTTGGCTTCCAACAGTCATCGTGATCAGGATTTCAGGCAGGCCACTCAACTGAGACAGTCTCTCATGCTTCTACCCCCAGATCAGTATGGGCCCTTTTGGACCCCTCAGTAGCATTTGATATATTGGATCATTGGACGCCATTGTCTAGGCCATTGGTTCTCAACGGGGGCAGTACCGCACCCGGGGGGGCGGTGGGAGGATGCTGAGGGGCGGTGATCTTGTTTTGGGCAGTAGGGGGGCGGTAGGCATGTTTTGGGCGGTAG